TTGTTACTACTAGTAAGGCACTTGTTGCTAGAAGCGATGCACTTGTTACTAATAGCTTCTTGTTTTTCTATTCCAGAGAAAACGTCTAAAAAGACAGACAGCCAGACAGCCTCGTTTGGCTCGGGTCGTTTAAGTCGTCTTCCTGCCTTTGAGGATTGTCGAGGCTGAAGATTCACATGATCTTGGCCAAGACAGAGAAAGAGGAAAAAAGGCCAGATGTCACATTCAAGGTATGTGGCGGTGAATTCAAGGTATCGAACGGATGAAAAACGGTCTAAACGGTGGTGGTCCCCCAGTTCCCTGGTTCCGAAAGGTCTGAAAATCGGTCTAAGAAACCACAGGTCTTTGCTTCGCCAAGGTCTTGGCTTCTGACGTGCTTCAGTCTGAATCGTTCGCTTCGGCTGGCGCGCGATAGGGAGTGGATGCGCGCGATTGAGTGTGGCACTGCCACTGTCTTAGTGCTAGACGTTGAAGGCAGTTCAGTGCCAAGCTCTCATCCACGTCCGCCTGCAATGATGCATGACGCACATGCGTGCTCTCCCGCAGCTGTGGAGCAGTCTCGGGTTGACTGAACCATGCCAGTACCACGAATTGGCCAGAGGCCAAAGACAATATGCACAGGCCCAGCCGGCCTGACGCTTTCAACTTTGAGACCAGTTCCAGATGCACACGACTTGTACCTTCATAATAGAGGCCATTAGCTACATGCCTGACTGAGAAATACGCTTGCCCCAGATGTCAGATTTATATCGATTCAATGTTCTCCAGGCTGTCTTCCTTTCAGATCTGAGCTCTTTGTGTTGGTATGATTCAAAGTATGAGTCCTTGTACGCTCACAAAGCCCTCTGTGTTTGAGCATCCTGCCTCCAAGAGGGCTGAACATGCCTCTTGTTCTGATGTTTTCTTTAGTTCCTTTGAGTGGACACTGCCAATGTCAAGTCTTCCTTCTAGCCCACACTTCAATCTACTTCTGGTATGATGGAAGTTGGTGTTTCAGCTAAATGGAATCAATGGAAAAGAGCCACTGGCTAGGGGTTGAGCCGTGGCTGCGGAAGAAGATGCAGGCACATCCACAAGTCACTAAAGCTTTATCTACATTCCAAGGGATACACTGATAGCAGCTCGAATGGGTGTCCTGCAGCTCTCTCAAGAACACTCTAAACAAACTCCAAGGGCTCTCCAAAAAGCCTTGCTTGAATCTCATGTATCCTCATCATCTTCCAGGATATCTTCTAAACGACCTGAACTGAAATCCAAGGTGCAACCGTGCACTTAGGACTTGACCCCTGCTGCACCAGCAGGGCGCAACGATGACACCTGGCAGCGCAACGCCAGAAAGCGCTGCCAGTTTGCACCAGCGGATTCCAACCTTTGGGCTGGAATTGTCCGACGACCCAGCGCTCTCAGAATCACATGACCGCACAAAATTTCGGAAAAGGGCCGAATTTTGGGCTCCTGAAAAGCGATGAGATTCACGTTGACTGGGACGGATGAATCCGCCGAATCCAAGCTGAACGACCGGCAACACATCTCCCGGAACCCGATGTAGATCTGTCTTCAACACGTAATCCATGGATTGACCCCAATACATGATGCGTCTTTTTTGAGACAACTTGGATACAGAACCTCATCTTCATGTCATGCCAAACCCCCTCCCCCTCCCATCGCCCGCCCTCCACCGGTCGGTACCTCGGCAGCTTGGAGCAGCCGAAGCGGTCGCTGGGTCGAACCACTTGCAGCCCCTCCACGGCGACCGGCTCCGACCAGGCAGCGTAGAGCGCTCCGAACTTCCTGGAGGAGCAGGAGCGGACGTCCGGCAGTCACAGAGGTCTGTGACCTCACCGAAGGTATGGGAAAAAAATAAAACGTGTACATCTTAGATGATGATGCAGGACAATTACAAGCTAAATGCAAGCTATAGGGGTCCTATAGGTCTAGCCGCCTAGAAGATTTGTTCAAGCAGGTACCCTGCGCTGGTAGGTCTAGTGAGTCTTGTTGAGACCTTCATACAGCAGGCGTCTTCGGGCACGCCTGCTGTATCCACCTTTGGATTCCAGGTGAACGACTGCGCCAACGGCCGCCTCCCACAGCGACCGAGGTCGGCCGACCGCGCGGAGGCGGCGACGTGTCCGGTCTCAAGGAAGGTTCCAGTGCCTTGGCACGGCCTTCGGCCAAACCCAAACAGGAGAAGAGGGCCTTGGCGGCAGGTGATCTCGGCGCAGGCTGATACATGGGATAGAATGGTCGAGATGGCCAAAGTCACATGCTTCGCGCTTGCGAAAAAAAGAACTTGGACGAGTTTGGGAGCTTGAGAATCTCTGGAGGAGGTCCATTCTTCCCCAACACGTGAGCTGCTTGCTCTGCGTGAGCTGCCTTTTTCGGGATCCCATCGGTACCAGATCCGGGGATCCACGCGTACCCAGCCAACAGCGAGGTGATGCCCCACTGCGGCATGAGACCTTCACGTACCCAGACGAGACGATCGCTTCCGGTCGGTGTCGGTGTCGGATGTGGGGCAGGACCCAAAGAGTGAACGATGAACGATGAGAGGCTCTGAGAGGTCTCAAAGGTCTCGCTTAGTGATGTGGGTCCGCCTTCCTCTTATAGCTGTCATGATCCCATCTTCATCTATCACCTAGATGAAGTGATCTAGAATAAACAGGACTCTGTTTGCACAGAGCTTTGACTCGATTCATGCGCGCCTTTGCGCCCTTTCTTGATCTTCAAAACTTTAAGCTCTCAATGGCTTCACATCTCAGGTATTCAACACAATTCTGCACACAATTCTCACGTGACCGACTTGATACACGACACATCTGCACTCCATTCTGCAACAGCTGCTCTTCACATCTTTGTTTTAGTTAGTGCAATGCTGTGGCAAGGGTCTCGCAATCACAGATGGCCATGTCATGTCGATATCTCCACATGCACCTTTTCAAGCGATTCATTTACTGGCTCTGCGCGAGCTCAAACAACGCCAGACGGCACCTGATCACATACCAAGTCAGCCGAACAACTGCCAAAAAAATGTTGAGATAAAACACATCTGGATCAGTCTTGCATACTCTCGATTTGATTGTGGAACCCTCTCCATGCCTTGGATGCCCCCAAGGGCCAAATGCACATGTTGTAGATTGCATGTTTGCCCGCTCCTCCCCGCCGCCCTACAGGCGGCGCGGGGCTCCAGGAGCCTTACTACGAACGGAGCGTTCGGACGCTACGAACGGGGCTCCCGGCATCGCTACGAACGGCGCATTCTTAAGAATATTTGAATCCCTGCAGGTCTTGGAAGTTCACTCGCAGCTTCCCGGTGGTGCAGGTCTTTCGGGCCCTGCCTCAGCCTCAATGTCCTGTTGCTGGCATTGGATCAAACGGACCTCCAGCTCCTGAACGAGCATTGACATGGAGCTTCCGTGAAACGCCCCAGGCAGGTTCCCCTCAGGTTGGGGAACCTGCCAGGCAGCTAGCTCCACTTACTTGCCAACAGTGCTTTTCCAAATGGGTCCTGTTGTCTGCTCCTCAGGTGCTTGGCACTCAGGTCTTCATACGACCCCCTTATTGAGGCGGCTACTCGAGTCTCGGGTTGCACACGCCCGCTCCTCTTCCATGCCGGACACCATCTCTTGCAGAATCGTCTGCCAAACACCAAGCATCAAGCTCAATCGGAGGCATGTCCCTCGCAAAAAATAAGTTAGCGGAGCCAATGGACCTCAAATCAACCCGCCCGCAAAGGCAAGGGAAATGGTGTTGGCCCAGGGCTTTGTGTTCTGACCATGCCTTTTGACATCACACAAATACATCATCGTATGTCAATGTTCCTCTGGGTATACGTGGTGCTACGCTGTCCTTCGATTCCGTCAAGGATGGCATCGTATGTCGGAGCGAACGGCTTTGCTTTCACACCTCACCTCGAAGTTGTAGCTATCCCCGATGGGGCGCCACAGGTCATAAAGCACCACGAATGTGAGCGTGATGGCCTCAAGTGGCATTGCGATGATAGAATGAGATGTATGATGTACACACACAACCAAAGGCGAATGATTCACATGTCAAATACGATGAATCTTCACTCCAGCACCACTCGCGCTGTGCACCATGTTTGTTGGACGGAAATCGCAGATGAACATGCCAATTGATTTGAGAAATTGCCCAGGGCTTGAAATATGTGTTGGTTTTAAAATCGGGAGACCTCCCAAAGACCCCCTGGAAGAAGGAAAATAGAGCAAAACCCATTGGTTGGGGTTCTCTACTGAAACACACACCCATCTGTAGAGATGGGACCCCAAGTCATGTCAGAGGACTGTGAGAGAGAGAGAGAGAGAAGGAGGAGGAGAAGGAGGAGGAGAAGGAGGAGGAGGAGAAGGAGAGATGTTGACTCTGCTGTTGTCTACTGTCCACAAAACGAACATGTAAGAAACACTCTTGGTCAGACCTCCAACCCTTATCGAAGCTGCCACTCGGTGCTGCCAAGGGGCAGTCGCCATCAGCCCAAACAGCGTTGCCTGGGATGAAAAGTGGGGGTAACGTTCCAAACCATGCACGCTAGGGTATACCCTTTTCGGAACCCTTCTGGAGGTTCTCAGAGAACAAAGGAGGAAGCAGCAAGCATGAGGAATCGACATGTCCACGAAGAAGTGGGTCTCTGGGTCCAAACCGGTTTGCACAGACCAAAACCGAGCTGTCACCATGCTCACTCGTGTCCATCTTGCTTTGTTCTTCCGGGTCGGGCCTGAAAGAAGAGAATGTGCCCCGGCAAGGCAGCAATGCTGCCAGTGGAGTCCTCACTTAGATGGAATTGAGCGTCCGCAAGTCGAAAGCATCCATGCCACAACGCAGGTCGACTGGCTGACGCGCTTGCGCGTCTCCACACATGTCTCCACACACACCTGGATTGCACAACACACGCTCTTTCTCCATTCCCCCCCCGCTCCAGGTTGGCGCAACCTGCAGCTAGCACAGGGAAGACCAAGAGCTCCTGACAAGGCTTCAAAACATCGGCCATGTTCAACCATCAGCCCTGCTCCTGTAGTTCTCTCCAGTAGCAAGATGAAGAAATCAACCAAAAAACCACGGTCCCTCCCTGCAAAAACCAACAAAACCACCCCACGAAGACCCCCTCCACGACGGACAGGATGGCGAGCACCACGAAGTGCAGCAGGGGCAGCTTCCGCTGAGTGGCCTGGGCACGACGGTGGTCCAAGGCCGAGAGTCTCAGCTTGGCAGCTCCGTAGACCGGTGCGTTCACCGTTCTGAAGACCGATGGAACTCACCTTTGCTTTTGGAGTCCAAAGGAGTTTGTTCGATGCCTCAAATGCAGTGCATCGAAAGTCCGTGAGCAACCGTGAGCAACCTGAAGGGTACTTGGAAAAACTGGTTGGGACATGGTCCTACCATGCAAATCGCACGGTTACGCGCGCGCGTGGTAAAACGCACATGGTGGGAGAGGCCACCGGATCGGCTTAGAAGGGCTTGTTACATTGTTCGTATCACATTGGAAACCGAAGCTTCGGTAGTTTTTCAGGCCCATTGACTTGAAACACATCGTTTTTCATCAACGCTCATGTCATACTCTCCGTTGTTCGAAGTGATTCGCCATTATCCGGATTTCTACGCCTAAATATGGACGATGTCAAATGAGTCATGAAAGGCTCTGCCATGAGCAGTGCTTTTCTCGTGCCCGAACTCAACAGCATAGTGCAGCTACCAGTCTAACAATGGGATGTCCATTTTACATCGACTTCGGATGACTTCGGTGTCCTCAACCGAACGTCGTCGCGAAAATCAATTCCAAGCGGCGCCCAGGCGATCTCCGCGAGCGCTGCGCAGGGACTTCACCGTGTCGTAGACGTAGGAGGGCACGCCCACTGAGGTGAAGTAGAGCACTTGTTCCAAGGGATCGCTGCGACCTCGGCCGAAGACCGGAACGGACGGGTCCACGCTGGTGGAACCAGAAGGAACAAGAAGAAGCCGGAATCCGAACGGAGGGTGGTTCACCGCTTGGGCAGTATGGTGAGGTGGTTTCCGGCCCAAGATCCGTGAATTGGCTTCTTTCCCGTGTATGTTCCAAAAAGTTCGAGAAGCTACAAACGACATTCTTTGAAGAACTTGGAGTTGATCATCCTATGATAGAAACATATGCAAACCGTGTTCCCTACAATTCTCCCAGCTCAGTTCGCGACCGGCATCTGTGTGGACTCTCCCTGGACAAAGCTGAGATAAAGCTGAGGTAACAAGAGCCCAACTCAAGAGCCCAACAAATCTCACGACCAACCCAAAATGGCGAAGCACGGCGAAGCGCGGATCTACGCTGAAAGAAACGCTGCACTGAGAGCGTGGGCGAAAGAGAAGGAGGACCTGTTGCAACCCGTGTTTCAAAAGATGCCACATGTTTTTATGAACCAAAATTACTCCTTCAGAACTCTTCCCTGACACGCCCCCCTTCTACTACCAGCATTCGTGTTATTTTTAAGGACACGTTCTTCCGCTCTCTCTCACTCCAAGATCGCCTGAGAGGAGCCTTGCAGGGTTGCAGTCCAGGCGCCTCAGGTCTTCACGCACATAGCGTTGAAGACCTCGGCAACTGGGACCACCAAACCGGGGTGGGACCGCCGGTGAGGGTAGACCATCCCAGGTCACCGCACACCGGGGTGTGTTTGGGTCGACCGCCGACGGTGCGAAGGTCAGAGGATGACGAGGCAACGAGGCAACGCGGGGGGGGGGGTGCAAGAGTGCTGAGGTCCTTTTTGCAGGTCCTTTTTCGGTCCCCAACACCCCAAACATGAAGAGATATGAATTTTGAGGATCAGTCGACTGGTCTTCCTCTACCATCACTTCAATGATCTTCGCTCGCTTGCTCTGACTTTTTTGGGACGCGACCAGGGCTTCTGCATGCGCTGCTGGGGAACAACCCCCGCACCGTTGTCATGAACCGTGCTCGCTCGCTCCTCTCGAACTGCGCCTGGGGAAGCCCCCCCACTCGACGCGAACCTTGTCGCGAAGCGCCACGTCGAAGGAGAACCTCTGAGGGTGTGGGGTCTGGCTCTGTGGGCTCCAAAGAGCACTCACCATTCAGTTGCACCAACTCATTCAGTTGTCATCCGACATATGAAGCCGTTCAGTTGCTGGCGCATTCTGGCGGAGCAAAGGTCGGCCAGGCCAGGCCTTCTCAAATGTCGTACCAGTGCTGCCAGAAGGGCACGTCATACGCAGGAACCGTCTTGTCTTTCCATTCCTGTGGTATGAGACCGTCAGAGATGTCACCCACTTCTTCCAACCAGGTCCAGAAGTTCCGGCTGTGACACAGGTTGTCATAGCATCCATGCATCGAAAGTATGGGTAGTCCGCAATCATGGGGTACCGAGGGGATACATCGGTGCTGCCACAGGGGGATCAAAGGGTAGCACCTGGACGCCAGATCTTGGGCTTTTTCCAGACTTTCATCTTCGCCCCACGGTCTATCTTTATTGTATCTCACGCGCCAAGGAGTACAGTGCAACTTCCGAATCTGGAAGACGGTGTCTTCTTTGGTTCCATATTCCACCTTGTTGCTGGACAGTTGCCTCCAATGATGCCAACCCTTCCCCACGGGCAAGCCAGCTTGCAGGAAGTCGCGCACATCTGGAGGGAACACGAAGCCATACCTGGCAGGGAAGTGGGCTGTCCCATCATACCACGCCATTCGTGTGCTCCAGGTTGTGTTCCCAAACATCCACTGAGCCCCAACAATCTCCAATTTGTTCACATGAAAAAACACATCACCCACTCGCACGCCGCACGCACGCAAAAAGACTGGACCCCAACGAGGACCCCGCGTTCGGACCTGTTCTCTGCAGCTAAGACCTCCTCATCGCTGAGCCCAAGTTCCAGATCTTCACATCTGCCAGCTGCAAGAAGCTCCTTCTGCACTGCTCGGATCGTATCACTTCTGTCTTCAAGGATCAGTTGCAGCTCCACGTCACCCACCCAGCCTGAAACAGAAACGAGTACGGGTCCGTACCGCCGTACGGAGGGGATTCTTTCAACATGCACAAAGAGAGGGAGAGGTTTTGCTCTAGAAAGCAGACCTTCCAACCCAAAGCATCCCAAAACCCTGTCACCAACCTCTTTTTCACCTGCCTCGCCTGACTTGTGCCTCAAGGGCACCGGTCCATCGACGATCTCCTCGCCCTTCACGAGGCGAACACGGTGGAAGGAGACATCCAAGGCCTGACTCCCGAGAAAAAGGTGAATTGGCTTCATCAATTTTTACTAATGGGGAAACTGATCCGGTGATCCACGATTCTTTTCCGGATCCGCCTGTGCCAAGGTCTGCCGCAGCTCCAAGGCCCTCTGTGCCTCGACCAAATAAGGCCCCCAAACGGCTTCACCTGTCGAGGAACGACATTTGGAGCCCGAGTTCAGGCGGCGGCGAACGGCGTAGCCGCTGTTGATTCGGCAGGTTTTCTTCGGCGCTCTTCAAGAGTTGTTCCACCACAAACGAAAAATGTGCACTGCTCCACTGCAACCCCGTGTCCTGATAAACTGCAGACAGTGACTCGAAGAGCATCGTGATCTTCACCCTGCCGTCAGGTTGTCGGTGACCGGAAACCCGATGCGGAAACCTTTTCCAGCAGTAAAGGCACCAAGCTTCGAGAACGAATCCCAACTGATCCTAAACCAAGAGCGAGACAACTGCCTAACGAATCAAGTGATCAGCAAGTCGCCTACCCACCATCAGAGCACCTTCTAAAGTCATTGTCGCCATGGAGTCCCGTCGAATGCCACAAACCCCCAGCCTTGGCTCCTTCCTCACGGTCAACCTCGCGCAAACGCTTGGTTGGTGATCGACCTCGCCGGCATGGTGAAAATCATGCAGTTGTCCGCCGACCCTGGCTGACGCCTAGGCGAGACCGGCGCCTGGGACACCGCAGGGTGGGGCGGTAGCCTGTGGACCGTACAAGCCTGTGGCCAGGGGCGCGTCCCAGGTCTCACCCACGGCCCTGCCAACTCCTTCTTGATGGGCTTCGAAGCTGCTGTCTGCCGCCCTCTCTGGCCAGGTGCCAAGCCTCGGCCGTGGCCTTGCCAACCTTGTTTTACTGGGCTTCGACGGTTGGGGTCCGAGATAAAGTGATGCCATATGCGGGCTAGGTTACAGCCCTGTCGAGGTGCAATTTTTTCGGTCTTGTGACCTTAGAACACAGAACCTCTCAGCTCAAAGGCATGAATTAAGAATGCAGCTTCGATGGCATGCTTTCATCAAGTGGCTTAATTGTCGAAGACATGAGGTCACGCAACTTTAGCAAGATCATTCCAAGGAAGACTTGGAACAGCTTTTTCGCTGTGTCGATGTAGGCTTTACGCATAAGCGTATGGATACTGATTTCTACCTTTAGGCATGTGTCCCCGGCTCTGTGTGACCCTACCTTGCAGGATTGCCCCTTCTGTCCGGATAGGGCCTACGGCCCGGCAAACGCGGCTGTCATGGACCACTTCACAAAGGTACAGGAAGCCGTGTGACGACTTCGCCACGGGGAGGAGCGTTGATTCGCAGCTAAGGACTTTGCGTGCTGATAGCAATTCAAGGGCTACAGCACCTACAACTGCATATATGCGGGCTATGTTGGCCCATTTTGCAGCTGTGCTGGGGCTATGTGGGACTATGCACCCACATCTTGGAGCCATGGTGGGGCTATGTTGATCCATCTTGGAGCCATGTTGGGGTGGAGAGCAAGCAAAAGCACAAAATGCTAACAATGCAAGGCTACTCGGGCAGCATATCTCGCTCCACAGGCCTTTGAAAGCGACCGCACAGCCATCAACATATCAAAACGTTGAGGAGTTGAGGCTATGTTGATCCATCTTGGATTGTTTCTAAAATATGCCTCCATCCACGTCCATCCACGTTCTTTAGTGGCCCTGCGAGTTTCCAGTGCCCCACCTGCCCTGCTTACACTGCCTGCACCCAGGGCGTAAGCCCCTAAATCCATAATGAAAAAAAGGCTCATGAGATTTCGGGTTCAGTATGGTTTGAGGTCAAACAAATGTACGCATACCCATCTACCCTCCAAATTTGAACAATTTGGTGAGCACACATGATTCCTCTACACCGTTTTGAAAGTCTACGGTGTGCTTGATACCCACGCAGGTACACAAGAAGAAACAAGACAAGAGCCACACGGAGTAGAAGGCAGCATCCTTGAACCCATTCGTGGGGCGAGGTCTCACAAATGAACACGCACGACAGGTTCTGAATCTCCTTCAGACAAAACCGGCGTGATGAAGCCTCCCGCAGTCGGCATAGAGCTGCTGGCCAGCTTCCGGACGGATCGCTGATCTTTCGATTCAATTCCCACAGGTGGTTTCTCGGCATCGAGTGAGGGATCTATGTGAGAACGCGTGTCATAGAGTCATAGCCTTTTCTAAAGGTTTCTAAACATGGATATGCATGGATCACTGTCCAAAATGTCACGAGGTGTATCTATGGGCCAAACACGCCTGCGGAGATCACAAGACGGGTGAAGGAGACCGGCAGTCCTGTCAGGTCCCATGGCACCCCGGTCAGATGTCTTCCACCGGTGGAAGGCGCCGTCAACGGGACCAACGAGACACACAACGAGGACACCGTCCGAAGTAGACAGACCTGAGGCACCAGCCTTGAAGAGCCTGCACAACTGGATCGATGGGTGAAGGCCGAACGTCCATGTGTATTTGAATCGATCCACGACGAAGAAGAAGAGGATAGTGTGGCGAAAAAGAGATGCGCCTCGGACAAGGTGGGCCTGCCCTTGCAAACCAAGGCCAATTGCTCCAGCAAGGCCTGCAAAAGGCAGGGCAGAGAGACAGCGCAATGCGCTTCGCGTCACAGCTGAAAGAGACAGCAGCTACCACGTTCTCCGTCTTCGGATCCTCTGATTTCACCGGTTTCACGGTACAACAGACATTGAGGTCTCGAAACCGCCAGGCCAGGTGCTTGCGCCACCACTGAGGGCCTTCGCTTCCGAGACCTCCGAGTAGAGTGCCAAGTAGATGGCTTCCTGCTGGGAGTAGAGGAAGCTGAAAGTCTGGGCCTCAGGGACAGACTTTACCCATCTGAAAATAGGACAAAGAAAACGTAGATGTGGATATAACATGATATAACAGATGTGACAGTCGCCTTCTTGTCTAGCCATCTAGTAGTACTTCGTAGACATGGATGGTTGTAGATATGGATGGTGACGCAAGATCCACGCACCCAAACATGGCTATGCCCAGTGAAGACTCCACGGAATCCAAGGATGAAGCCGCGAAGAGCGAGAAAACCAAGCCTGGATGAGCCAACGGAGAAACCGAAACCGACAATCAAACTGAATGTCTTGACTGACACTGGCCAAAAAAAAAAGCGCCTACCCCTGTGAAGCAGTTTTGAAGCCACTGCGCATTGTTGTCCTGTGCATCTTCGCTGAATCCCTTTGACCTTGAACTCCTCTCACGAAAATAAACGAGGCTTCAAGGTCTTCAAAGCCTTAAAGGCCTTAAGGCCGCTAGAGGGGCTTACAAGTATTACAAGTTCTGAAGCTTCAAAAAGAACCTGGCCGTGTTCTAAGCAGCCGAAGCCAGCCGGACCAAAACCATCGTCGTACAAAATCAGCTCGCCAGTGAGATGCCGCTCCTAGGGGCCCTCCCGCTCCGGTCCTCCCGAATCGCTTGCAGAGCAGGGCCCGAGAAGGAGGACTGGCGATGTCTCGACTTCGACTCGTCACCGACCCGTCACCAAGCGGTCGAGACATCGCGGTCGCGATGGTCGGTGCGGCGCTTTTGTTGGCAGGGGTGCCAAAACGCTCCATTTCCGCGTGGGGGGTGGCGAAGCACGTGGGAAATCCAAAAAAACACGTGAATACCGCGGGGCTTCGACACGTGAAAGAAGACATCTCCAAGGAGATCTCCATGTGTTCTGCGAAACACCTCAAGCTGTACACTCTGCCGCTGTACACCTCCATGAGAGAGGCGATCGGCACAAAGAGCAGTGCAGCCAGGAGACCCACCTGGCACGAACTCGTAGAGATGCTGTAGGACTAGCAGAACTGCTTTCTAGTTACATCATGGTTACATCATGTTACATCTAGTTACTAGATGTTACTAGCTGTTCATAGTGGTTCTGTTATCTTTTCTTCATCCTTTTTGTCCCTGCGAGCCAGTTTTAACGCTTGACAACGTTTTGCACTGCCATTGGGTCATGGGTCCAAAGCAAGGGCATGGAATTGATCACACCATCTAAGGTCCGAACAGCTGCACACTTCCCCAGCCGGAGAAACCCGCCGTCCTGGGAAGCGTCGTCGCTTCCCAGCGAAACCCCCTCAAACACGTGGTCTGTGCCGAACAAAGGGCCCCGTTCGTAGCGTCCGATCGCTCCGTTCGTAGCGATGCCAGGAGCCCCGTTCGTAGCGTCCTTGTTCCTAGTACGGCCAGGAGCCCCTGGTACGGCACGGCGGTTTGTGCCGAAAAAGCGCTGAACGTCATCGCAGATTCCACCCCATTCGCCCAAGCGACGTCGCGACGGCGGAATTGTCGCGGTGGCGTCCTGTTCGCCACGGGGTTGCAACGAGGGCCATGCCTCCGCCGGTACTTCGACGCGCACGCCCAAAAACAAGACCGACGGCGGAATTCCCGGTGGCTTCGACCAACTCACGTGCAGTCGTCCAAGTCCTTAGGTCCTTAGTGATCCTTAGTGATTCTATTTGCGTCTTCTCACCTCATGTGACCTGAACAAAAGACGCAACCAAAAGCGACCCTCGAAATCGATGCAAATAGCGCGACCCCAGCCAGTGGAATCTGATCCGACGGTCGAGCATTGCCTCATTGTCCCACTTGTTCTCGCATTCATCACAATTGGAAACTCAGTCGCCGAACTCATTCGAAACAAAGCAACAAGCATCATGGGATATTCGATTCTTGCTAGTGCACTGGTGATGACAAGTCTTAAAATGGTCCTCTCTAAAAATAATGCCAACTTGCAGTTCATGCTAACAAGGAAGGCGCTTTGCTAGCCGCAACCAAACATGAGCATTTGATCATCCAGAAAGAATTGGAAGAAAGAGGCTCTCTGATCCCAAGCTAAAGGCCCTTCATGGGCTCAATGCTCGAATCACTCGAAGTTGCCTGGCTGCCATCAAACCCTAGTCCACACAACAGCCCGTCAGCAGCCTCCCTGGGCTCTACATGGCTTTAACATCCGGGGAACACAAAAAGTCAAAGAAAGGGCTGCCCTTAGCACTTTGGATGCTGTCAAGCTCATGTGTTGTCAGCCGCAAGGGAGAGAAGGCTGGTGAGCTTGGGTGTGGTAGAAACACGCAGGAAAAACCGGCACAGGATTTAGGACAAGAAATCACACAAAGCATACTTCTGTGGTCACTCTCGCTCTTACAGCCAACCGGATCCTGAATGCAAATGGGATCAGCTTCTCCAGAATGCCAGGGCTTGGTTCCAGACATTCAAGAGTAAGGAGGCGAAATGTTCCAATCGTTTACATACAATACGTTACGAGCCTGGAACAGAATCGAAATCCATTGCTTCCATCCCAGTGATGCAGTCAAAGCAGAAGAAAGCAGAAAGCAGATGTAGCTGCGTGCCGCACTCCCAATCCAACCTGTGGCGCTGCATCCAAACGTCGTTGCAGTTCACCTCGAATGCCTCCACGTCACAGGACGGAGCTCGGCATTAGCTCGAATGGACGACGGTGAACCCCGACGGCTCACCTTCCACCATCTCATCGAGGGCTTCGTTCAAATTGTAAAGCCCGCAGGTGGGTGTCCTTGGCAAACCGAACCCATCGGCCATCAGTGACCCCCTGACAATTCGATGCTGGATTCACCCGTCGACAAAAGCACTGATGGATTCAGTCTCATGGTCTCATGATGGGATGGGTTCACAGTGAGGCTCAAGCATCCATCTCTTGCATCCAGTCCATCATCCAAATCTGAGCTGCTGGCCGGAGGTCCTGCACCACCTGGAGTGCAAGCACCACCCCTCCAGCCAAGAGCGCGAAGACCACCGACTGAACCCAAAGCCTGAGCCCAAGGCCCGACGACATCGCCCAGTGTTCCGGATAGGCTTGGCTCGCGCGCGGAGGCGTCGATTGAGGTGCCCACACGTGACCAGGTGAAGCTGCATCGGGTTCATAGCCAGAAATACCCGCCTCATATGGAGACTGCTTTGGATGTGAATATCATCCATATTCTGTATATAGAGAGAGAGAGAGAGAGCGACGTAGCATATTATGGTTTCGACGTCTTGCTGTTCACTCCTGAAATCGTCCTTCCTTTCGGATACTCTTCTAGGTGCCCAGCGCCCAGCAACGGAAAGACCAAGAGCTCCAAAGCGCCCAAAACATTCAGCAAGATGAAGTGCTCCAAGGGAAATCTCAGATCGAGAACCACGGAGAGCCACAAATCACCACGGCTCATGGGACGTCATGGGCTCATGAAAGGGCTGGAAGATCCTCTTCTGGTTTGGTCTTCGGTCTTCGTCGGTCTGTGCCAAGCGCAGGACTTTCGCTGGGTGGCACCCAATCTCACCCCACGAGCCTCCGGGCAGATTCATTCCACCCAGAAGCATGTATTCTTCCATTTATAAAGCAAAGAGCACGATGCAGGAAAGCTGCATGGCCGTCGCTCCTTTCGCTCCTTTTGCGCAAGCTCCCGCCAAGCTAAGTCGACCCGCCTGTCGCAAGCTCCGCACAGTGTCATAGACCACGGAGGGAACCTGAGGTCGCGTTGACCGTTGTCGCGTTCGTTTCGGGCGTCGCCCAGTCGCGCGACCGGGCCAAGCTGGGAGCCGAACCCCAACGCTGGTGGCATAGAGGATGTTCTCTAGAGGATCGTTGGCAGGCTTTGCCTGGGGAAGTGGCGCCAGAAGTGGCCTACATTGATATCTTGCACAATGGTTGTGATATCAATGTAGTCGCCTGGTCCGGACGTGAGCGTTCAAAGAAGAATGATCAAGCTTGTTGAAATGTCCGGAGATGTCTGGAGTCCAATTCATGTATATAAGTACACAGAGCGCCTTAGAGAATATCATCCAGGATCATCTCATCAGCTCATCACAACTCCTTTCCGCATAGGATTCATTCCAGGGTCCGGGCTGCCACAAGCACAGCGGGTGGACAGCCAAGCCGAACTCCCAGAATGAGCTCTGAGATGTAGGCATTCCTTCCAGAACACTTTTGGCACCACCCATCCCTCCCCACAATCCGATGCAAGCCTCTTCCAAGCATATCCGATGCGCGAAAAAAGAATCTTTTGGAGCATTCTGCTGTAATTTCGGTCCAAGAACTGGGAGCCGGACATGCTTTCTAGCATGGACCGATAGCTGGGCCTGAGCATGGCTGGGTTATCTTGTTTGGTGAGTTTAAGGCTCCAAAGTCTGCTTCAGCTCCAAGGTCTCTGAACATGTTGAACAAGCAACTCCGCAAGGGGCACACCTGTTCTGCGACACCAAGGTCAGCTGCTCCAGAAGCGATCTCGCCTACAAAATGAATCAAATGTCTTCAGAAGCGAGACTTCCTGTGTGAAATACACATTGATCCAAAACCAAGAAACTAGACGACGAGTGGCCCGAAAGCATTTTTCATCACGTAGGAAGTCAGAGTGTGAGTTATCTGGTAAGTGTTCAGTGTGAAGTGTTAAGTCGAGTGAGTTGAGGCAGTGTGTGGGTCTGTGTGTGTGTGTGTCTATGTCTGTGTGTGTATGAGTCTCTGTCTTGTGTGTCTCCGAGTAAGTTGAGGCAGTGCGTGGGTCTCTGTGTGTGTGTCAACCTCTCAAGAGAGCCAGGTGGTTGGGAGACATGACTCAGCTGCAAGTCATTGTACTATCAAGTCATTGTACTACCAAGTCACCAGTTCTCATCTGGCCACTCCCCAGATACTCCGCGTACTAAAGTTGTACTACCAAGTCATTCTACCAAGTCACCAGTTCTCATCTGGCCACTCCCCAGTTACTCCGCGTACCAAAGTTGTACTACCAAGTCGCCAGTTCTCATCTTCCAGCTCCCCAGCTACTCCGCGTACTACAGTTGTACTACCAAGTCGCCAGTGCTCATCTTCCAGCTCCACAGGTACTCCGCGTATTCAAGTTGTACTACCCACTCACCAGTTCTCATCTTCCCACTCCCCAGCTACTCTGCGTACTAAAGTTGTACTACCAAGTCGCCAGTTCTCATCTTCCACCTCCACAGCTACTCCGCGCACTAAAGTTGTACTACAAAGTCGCCAGTTCTCAGCTTCCAGCTCCACAGATTGCTCCGCGTACTCAAGTTGTACTAGAAAC